TCCAGGTGGTTATTGCAGGGAAGCTTCATTTCAACCATTAGCTCACCAAACCCACCATTTGAATGTGGGGAGCTGGGCAAGCACAGCAATCTCCCTTCCTTCAATCCATTGGTATTAATAAAATTCTGCTTGCAGCTTCAGGCTCTGGTGTTGTTTAAACACATCTCTCTAATGTCAGAAATGCTGGTTTTGAAAAGATGGGGGTGTTTTTTTTGGGTTTTGTTTTGTTTTTTTTTTAGTTTGAATAAAACCCTGCTACACAACGAATTAATTGCAGTGCACTGCACTGTTACCAGGAGGAGGAGGCTGGAACTCCATCACATGTAGAGCCCAGTGGCTATTTGTTCTATTTGTTCATTGCAAGGTCACCTGTGGGCCTGGGCAGGCATATAGACAATGGAGGACTCTTATTTTTTAAAAATAAACCTATACTGGGAAGTAGAGCAATTACCCCACTGTGCAGATGGTTCTGCCCATCAGCTAAGGGCTGTGCCAACCACACAGCTCCCAAAACCCTCCCTGAACACCCCAGGCAGGAGCTGGTGGTCAGCTCGGCCTTGGAAGTCTGGTTTGCCAGGAGCCCCCAGAGGACTGATGTACTCCAGGAAAGATTCTCTCCCAACCTACAGAAACCACACATTCGATGCAACAAGAAGGCTTTAAGCTACACAGGAGTTTCCTCTGCCTTCTCTGAACAATGAAAGGGAAGTCAAGGATTTGCTAAGTAATGTAAGATCTTAACTGAGTGCTCCAGAAATCAATAAATACACGGCACAAAACACAACTAGACTTGATCTCATTACAATAAAAATGTCACTGATTATACTGATGTGTTTTCATATAAAAATAGTTATGGATTTGATGAAAACATCAATGTATTTCTGAGTGATATTTACCTTCAGTACATTTTCTTATTCCAGTAAAAAAACCACCTTATTTACCATTAACTTGGGTTATTCAAGAAGTATTGACATGCAAAAGTTCAACACACCCAACTATTTTTGAGTAATTCTTCATACAGAAAAGTGACAAGATTTATAATTTACCTCTTACATGAAATATACCAAGTACAATAAAATTAACAGAGAATGTAAATAATGGGATGTTTAATAAAATCAATGGAACTGCGAAGACCTGTTTTATTACAAGTGAAGTCCATTCAGTATAGTCACAAATAAAAAACACAATGTATTGAATTTTTCAGCTTCTCAGATTTTTACCTGTTTCAGTCTTCTTATATCTGTCTTTTCATTAATTGTACATTCTTCAACAGAAATCAAGATCTACCCCTATATGACATTTTATACAACAAAAGAAAGTACCATGCTTTCAAGCAGGGATTTACAGGAGGCTGTGTTCCACAAAGCTTTGCCAAGTTATTTGAGCATCCAAAATTTAGCACATGAGCCAGTTTATCCACCCTCGACTGCTACTGGTATTTCCAGTCAGAACTGAAACAGCAGCAGAGCTGCCAGTTTGGTTAATCTGAAAGTTCTGGGAAGCCACTGTCAGCCTGCAGAGGCTGTCACCCACCATGCTCATCCATAACTGCTGTGAGCTCTGAGCTCCAGCACTGCCCCTGCCCAGCGCTGACAGCCCTCAGCTCTGCTGCAGCAGCTCTCTGCCAAGAGATTCATCTTCAGCTCATTCCACCATTTGTAAACCTGAGAAGCTGTGCCTCTCCCAGGTGTGACACGAACTGCTTCATGCCCCTGCACCCTGTGACAGCCCTGCTGCCCCCAGCGCCGCGCCCTAAGGAAAGCCTTGGGCCAGGAGTCACTGCTCCCTGCAGGCTGGCCCCTGCCCTGGCACAGGGACCTGCTGCCCAGCACCTTCCCCAGCCTTGCACTCGCTGCTCTGGGGTTCATTCTGTGCATGTGCTTAACAAGTTCTGAGTGGAAGAAAATCCCACAGAGTCTCACCCTACCATCCTTCCTAGCAGAACCAACACAATCCACCGGACCACAGCTCTCTCCCTCATCACAGCACCTACCCCACCCCCAGACTAAAACCAGTACATCAGATTTGGTATATGTGGCCATAAATGACAAATCCTGGTATTAAGATTTATGTCTGGGATGATGCAAAATGATCCATTTTGATCCTTCATAAAATGTGGATTATTAGTTTTTAAAACCAAGTGGCTCCACTAGAGACACCTCATTATTACCCTGGTTTCTTATTTCTCATGTGGAATTTGCACCTGTGCTGCTGTGAGCTGGAGACAGAGGGTGCTGACAGTGTTGTCTCAGATCTTGCTGCCAGTCCTATCACAGCCAAGCTGAGTGACTGTGGGCAGCAAAATCTGATTTAGTTCTGCAGGAGCCAAGCCAAGGAAAGCCTTACAGAGGAAGTGATGCCAAAACTGGTAAAAAAGGGGATGTGAGAGCAGCAGGGATAAAGGTTAGCCAAACTGTAACTTGCTTGGGCTTCTCCCTTTCTAAAGCAAATAGCATTATACAACAATATATGATAAACATTTCTATTTCAGAGAGGTAATAATATAACGACAAAGCCACCATCTGCTGCCAAGTCTGTGCCTTACAAGGGATGGAAAAAAGCCCACAGAAGTTACAGAACTTTGCAATCAAACAGAACTAACAAGGAAACACGGAGACACGTGACATCGTACAAGGCAAACCACACTGGAGATAAGACCAAAACTTTACCCTAAATGGACACACCACATGTGAAACCCCTGCTCACACAGTCACACACACACACACACTCTGAGCAGAGGAGCTGGAGACCTACCAGTTCAAATCACAAGTGTGAAAAAACATTTCCATGAATCTCTGACTCCTGACAGCAGTGCCAGGGTCTGTGAATGCAGACAGGGAGCATTCAGTGCCAAAAAGCAGACTCTAACAAGTCAGAAGGCAGGGAGCTCAACGTCAAAGTGCACCCTCCTCTCTCCTTTCTAGGTTTTTGGGCTTTGGTTCCAAGCCACTGCTACTACAGCCTAACAATGAAAGTACAAAACACTCCTCTAGCACGCAGCATTTCCTCCCAGTGATAGTAACACAAAACATCATTGAATAATTGCTCTTCCTTTGGGTTATGCCTTTTCCACACTAAGCAGATTCAGCACTAAAAAATTCTTAAAGTTACAAACAGCCTATCATGTGGAGTACACATCAAACACTTCTGTAAACCCATTTTGTATCTTTACAGTCACCACTTCAGAGGGTAGTTTAACCAAACAATAAGAACACGGTTTTGGTTACATTATTTCCATGGAAAACAACATTGGTACTAGCTGTCTTTTATGTTGACAGAACTTTTTTTCCCCTGGAAGGCCCAGCTTTAATAAATAAAGGACTAGTAGAAAAAAATGCAAAGTAATATTTAAGACAAGAAAGGGAGAAATACAAAGGTGATTGGGGAATACTGCAAGAAACACAGTGCCTAGAAAATAATGCTGGTATGTGAAACAAGAAACCACATTAGTTTTGAACTGGGGACATTGCAAAGTACAGGGCTCTTCACAGAGACACAAACAGCACATGCTCTGACTGGGATTCCTGTTCAAGCTCTCTAAGAGCCTTTTTATCCACCACAGGAGTGACATCAAATCCAATCAATGTACCTCACGCTAAATAAAATAATTTCAATACTGTGAGGTATGTGATTATTCTTAAACACAAAAAAGTTGCATTTTTTTATGGACTGTATCAGTCTTCTCTGCTGTTTCCCAGATTAAGATCACAGATGATTATCCCTTTTTCCTGTATCACAGACAAGTCCTGGCTGGAAGGGAGCTCTGGAGCTCACCTGGCTGAAGGCAGATCAGGTAAATGCAGAGCCCCTTGCAGCTCCCCTGCCCCCATCAGGAGATCTGTGCTGCAGGACCCCCACTGGGTCACCACCAGGGTGTGGGATCATCTGGATGCAGCCCAGACCTGTGAATGACTGCAAAACATGCAGCTCTGTCCTACTGCTTTTAACTACCAGCCCTTTCTGAACATCTGCAGAGTACAGTTTCAACATTAGTGACCCACTATCAGTTTGTCCCTCTAAGGCTCAGCAAAGCTGATAATCTTGTTTTCATCTTCTCCAATGAGCAAGAGAAAAAAACCTGCTGATTCCTCTCGTCCAGTTTCACCTTAGCTGAGCTTCTAGCCAGAGTTATTAAAAAAAAGAAAAAAATAAAAACCTTTCCAGGTTCTTATTCCCTGAGCTTATATGCCTCCAAGCTGGGGTTTGTGTGTGTGCTGGGCACCTGCTTTATTTATTGTCTGAGCTGTCCCAGGTGCCATCTTTGGCGGCCAGGGAGCACCAGGTCTCCAGCCAGGCTCCTCCGACCCAGCACTGCCTCTGAGCAGCACGCTGGGGGAAAAGGAAGCTTCTGCCCTGGGAAGAAGGGAGATGTCCGAAGGGCTGTTTTCTCCTGTACAACCTAGCAGCGATCACTTGGGCACACAGCAGACATGCTGGCACAACGCACAGCCCTGGCAACAAGCACACGAGCCTTTCTGCTCTGCAGGAAAGGCAGCCCTGCACACATCACTCCACATGGACCCGAACACACCACTCATGTGCTAATGCAAACTTGCGCTCTGGCTGCTGCCACCATGCCTCAGGCAGTGGGGCTGTGAGCCAGCTCTGGAGATCCCTACACAAGCCCTGATGCCTTGCCAAGCTCGTCACCAGCTCATCACACCAGTGCTGGCACCACCTTGCACTGCCAGACACTGACAGCCTCTGAAACGGAAGGTGATTCTGAGCCACCACAGTTAGTGCTGGAGGAAAAAAGACCTCAGACAACCTTAGTCTTTTTGAACAAAAGACGCTCTGCATGCTGATATTCTCCTCATTTTACATGGATGCATCTGTGAAATCAGCAGGTACACATGCCACAGAATAAACACTCTTAATAGTAAAACACAGTAGTAGTAAAAACAATCATCAGCAGCACGGAAACAGCTCACAGCTCAAAAAACCCAAACAGAAGAAATTCGCCTTTGGTTAAACTATACTTGTGAAATAAAGAAATTTACCGTGAAATGTTCCTGTGATTTATAGTTCTCATCCAGGTAAACTCGAGCTCTGTTGTAGTCTTTCATTGCATCACTTGATAACAGTTCTCTGAAAGAGAAAGAAAAGACTGACCATGTAAAGGGAAATACAAATGTACTGCTTTGCCTCAGCATTGCTCTGTGCTGTGACATCCCCAGCATCACCCAAAGGAACCCAGGGCCTTCCTCTGCCTCTGGGGGGAGCTTCAGGGGCAGAGCTGCCCTCATCAGCTGCACCTCCAGCGCGGACCGCGAGCTTCCCAGTGCCATTGGACACTGGGAAGGGCGCGGGTCTGTGGTGCCGACAGAGCTCCGGGAATTTGGGGATTTGTGCTGCCGGGGCCGCAGCCCGAGCGCGGCCCCGAGCGCGGCCCCGAGCCCGCAGCGCCCGCCGCCGCCAGCAGAGGGCGCGCGCGGCCGCGGCGCTCCCTCCCAGCCGGGCTCGACTCTGCCGGGCTAAACTCGATCAACTCAACCGGGCTAAACTCGATCAACTCAACCGGGATAAACTCGATCAACTCAACCGGGATAAACTCGATCAACTCAACCGGGATAAACTCAACTCCGCCGGGCTAAACTCGATCAACTCAACCGGGATAAACTCAACCCTGCCGGGCTAAACTCGATAAACTCAACCGGGCTAAACTCAACCCTGCCGGGCTGTTCCAGCGCTGACTGACCGCTCCTGCCCTTGTTCCCGGCCCTGCCACTTACTTCACGAACTTGTCCACGTGAGACATTGAAGCTTCGTAGTTTTTCCCTCCGAATTCTTGACAGTGTAAAGCCATGAAATGGGGTTTGTGTGCATGGACAACCTGGAACAGAGAGAAAAGCGAGTTTTAACGCTCAGCACACAGCAGGAACAACACAGATCTGGGTGCTCAGGGAGGACTGGCAGCTGCAACCTGAGAGGTCACTGGCACAATAAGCACCAAGGGGAGTGTTGTTTGCTATCCACATAGAAGATTCATAATACACAATTATTATCTCAAATATTCTTAAACTAATATTTCCTTTTTTAAACTATTACTTAGTTCCTGGGCTGTATATATATTTTAAATATATTTTAGTATTTATATTTAAAATGCAAATAAACTTTTCCAACTCCCCTCAAAGATGACTTGACATGATTAAGATGATCCAAACCTTTCCTTGTTTGGTAGGTAGAAGAGTTCAAATAATTCATTTGCTAGAGTGAATTCTTTTTCAGCTTTAACAAAATTTCTCAGTGCTATTTAGCAGCCCTTTAGCAGTTGTGTTTGATATTTTTATTTATTTGTAAATACTTTATTTACAAAAATATTTAAATAACAGATGCACATACACACCTGTTAACACTGGAGACATGGAAATCCATCATGCTATTCCAGGTGTTAGTCTTGAACACTGCAAATATCTTAGATACTACATAGTCAGCACTAGGATGCAATTACCATACCAAAACCCTAGAACGTCTGTCTTTCCTCATACCTCAAATCAAATATAGTTTATAAATCTGCTGCTGTTTTGAACACACATTCAGTGATGCTCTGGAATTTTCTCTGCTTTGCCTCTATTCAGAACTGCCAACACCACATCCAAAATGCCTCTGTTAATAGTGAGTCTCTATTCCTTGTACTCCATGCTTTATTGTGAATTAATGGACACAAGCTCCAGAACAACTTCCATTTCAAAAGGGAACAGTCTGAAACAATCAACAACGTGTTGGTGCAAGCATACACGGCGAGAACTGTTAAAATCCAAGTGGGATTCACTCATTTCTCACGGGTGGCACTGGGCTGGCCCTGCAGCCTGGGCAGAAGGGAGGGGGGCTGCTGGCAGCTCCCGGGCAGGGCTCGGGGCGCCCTGCCCTCGGGGTCAGTGTCTGCCCTGCTCGCACGGCAGAGCTCTAACCTCAGCACCACTTGTGACACAGCTGGAAAAAGGGACTGCTCCCCTTCCTGCTGCTGCAGCCCTGCAGCTCTGAACAGGCACAGACACGGTAAACTTCTGCAGTCCTGCTTTTAATTATTTAAATCAACAGTGACTAGTATCACTGTTAAAAGTCTTTAGGAATCATGGAATCACAGAATGGTTTGAGTTGAAAGGGACCTTAAAGCTTATCTCATGACACCCCACTGTCAGGGAAACCTTCCACTCGAGCAGGCTGCTCCACGCCCAGTCCAAGCTGGCCGTGAACACTTCCAGGATGGGACACCACAAAAGTTGTGGATGTTTCCTTTAAACAACAGCGGGGAGAAACTGCCATCTGATGTGACGACAGAGTGCAAAATCCTTCATTCCTGACTACACAAATAACCGCATTAGACAATTAAGCTCAGAAGGCAAATGAATTAAAGATCAGCAAAACCTGAACTGCAGCAGGTTCCATTGAGGCAGAGGCAGGCACAGGTCCCTGCTTTGACCTGGTGCCTTCCTGTGACAGCAGCAGAGCTCCCAGCTCGGGGACAGCAGCAGGGAGGGCCACGGGCACCGCAGGTGCCAGTGCCAGACCTGGCCCAGGCTCGGCAGAGCACGTGCCAGCGAGGGCCAGCACGTCCCCCGCTCCTCGGGGACATTCCTGGCACCCTGCCCTCCATCAGTGCCCGGCACAGCCCCTGCCCAGGGGCTCGGGACCGGCGGGAGAGGCGGTGGGGCTCCAGCCAGAGGCAGGAGGGGAGGCCTGGCAGTGGCTCTGCACAAGGCCAAGGAGAAGCCGGCGTGCTGCCACATCCCGGTCACACAGCGAGCGACAGCGCGGCCAGCCGCGCCAGGGCACCCTGCAGAAAGGAGGGAACGTCCTGCCCTGGGTTTCTGACTCACTTCCTCCGTGCCTCAGCTTCCCGGTCATTGAAACATCTTGGCACTGACCTGCTTGGTGAAGCATTCCGAGGTGAGCTGCTGCTGGCAGTGTTACCGGATAAAGGGAAAAAGTAAATACTAAATACTCCCACTCAGGTGATTGATGATTATTGAGCACTTCCATTAGATGATTAACGCTGGTTATAGCCAACAGGGATATCAGCAACTTGCTTTAGAGCATACCATTATCAGTAGGGACAGAGAATGAGCCAGAGCAGGACCCAGTAGTAAGTTTAGTGGGGAAAAAAAAGAAAAAAAGAAGAGAAAAAAAAAGAAAAAAAAAAGGCAAGTGACAGACATCTGTCTAAAACCGTATCTGAAATGCAAGAAATTATATTCAACTGGGACATAGTTTTCCTCTGATGTATATTTCCTATCATAGATTTACAAACAACTAAGACACAGTTGCTGAGAAGATGTCCCTGTACAGATGTTCCTTTCTTCCCAAGGCACTGCCCAAGGGACCAGTGGCAGCAGGCTGCCATCAGAGCCAGCAGCAGCCAATGACAATCAACACTAAGTTTACCTGGTTGGTTCCTTTTGTTGGCTGTCTGGAGAGCAATGCTAACTAAACACAGCCCGTGAAGCAGAGCTCTGGAACAGAGCTCATCTGTGGACTCTAACACCAGGCCATCCCAATTCTCCATGTGCTTTATTGCTCCCAATCAGTTCTGGATTCCAAGTCCTGATCTCATCTGCCTGGGGAGCTCTCTGAAGACACCATGGTCAGAAAGCAGTGTGACTATTCAATCCTGTAAAGCCCACACACCCACTGCCACTGCTTCAGGGCAGCACACACAGCAGGAGGTGCTGAGCATCGTGTCACTCATTTTAACTGTTGAGAGTTTGCTTCAGTAAGAGCTCTTCTTACACAGCCCGTGAAAATATAAACTGGTAAGACAAAAACATAATAAACTATTTCAAGTAAGATTTAGGAACCATCAGTCACAGGGAGCCCTGAACAGGGAGTCACGCAGTGAGACAACACTGGAGAACAACTCTACTGTGCTGAAGCAGCAACAGAAAACACTTTCAGGCTCTGAAGATTCAGGACACAGGTCTTTTTGTTTGTATACAAATCCTTGAGAACTTGAAATCATAAGGGGTATTTCTGAACAGGGAGTCCCGCAGTGAGACAACACTGGAGAACAACTCTACTGTGCTGAAGCAGCAACAGAAAACACTTCCAGGCTCTGAAGATGCAGGACACAGGTCTTTTTGTTTGTATACAAATTCTTGAGAACTTGAAATCATAATGGGTATTAAAAAAAAAAAGAAGAATTATGTAATTTTTGATGGGGAAACAGCATTAGCTTAATAGCAGTGAGGTCCTTGTGGCATTCCTTGCAGGTTAAACCACTAGAACATACCTGAATATTAGTTATGTCCTCTCATATAATAAGTACCCTCCAACTAAAAGCAAATTGGCTTTGCTTCATTACCTTTTAGTAGTTTTCTACTCTTATGGAAGAACAAACAGTACATAATAATGAGTAATGAATACTTCAGAGCTGAAAACTCCCAGTTGCCAGAGGTTAAAGATCATACATAAATAATGAATTTGCATCCACAGCAGCATGGTGTATTTACAAAGTTGGGCATTATTTTCAATTCGGGATATGCAAAAATAGTGTAAAGGAAGGCACAAGCAGGAGTTATTTTGGGGGATGTGGGTAGCTAAGCAAGATGCTCCAGCAGAGCTGAGTATGAACACAGCCCTGGCGAAAGGCACGAGCCGACATCTCCTCGTTGCTGCAGGTGTTTGCCTGTTTGGGCAGGGGTGGGGAGGGTGGGTCAGGCTGTGCCAGAGCTGGGGCAGCAGCCACAGGACACAGCCCCACGCTGCTGCCAGGCCTCTGGGAGAGGCCAAGGGCACCAGGGTCAGACCTCAACGCAAGCAAAGCAGAACAGCAGCTTGAGCCTTGATGTCGTGCAAATAGGATTGCTTTAAAAAAGATAGCAAACTACGAGCTGTGAAGTACCATTTAGCACGTGTGGTCCTAAAGCACTTCGAGTATTTTCAATTTCTGAAAGCCTGAAGAAGAGGCTCTTGCTGGGGACAGGCCCCCAGAACCCTGCAGCACTCAGCTGCACACAGCCAGCAGCCCAGGCAGCATCCCCCTAGCCTTGCACAGCCCATGGATCCAAACCAGCAACAAGCAGCCCCCACCTGAGGATAACACCCTCTGGAAAAGGGCCGAGACCTCAGCTTGGAAGAGCTGCAACAGTTTTTTCACCCCCTCCAGTTAAAAAAAAGCTCTTAATCACCCTCTCTAGTTAAAAAAGCAGCATTAGTTCGACTAAAATTAAACAACCTCTGAGTGTCTGGGTGGGGTTTTGTTGTGATTTGGGGTTTTCGATTTTTTTGTTTGGTTGGTTTGGGCCTTTTTTGTTTGTTTTTCTTCCTTCTCTCTGAAGGGTAACGCACAAAGTTCCCACGCAGCTATACCAAGACGACCTTTAGCTATTAGGTAAACTTTTAACTTCTGTATTACTACAAATAAAAGCTCAAAATACTCTCAAATACATCAGGCAACATGGAAAATGGCATTAGGGGAAAAAGCCCACTGGCTCCAAGTTTGCATCTAAAATGACCGTGTCCCGTGAATGTGACACAAAAAGATAGTTAATAAACCAGTGCAGATTTTCACTAATTCCAGCTCCTGAACTCCTCCTGCCCCAAACACGAGGCCCAGCGCAGATGGAGAAAGGGCAAGGGATGGGGAAGGAGGGAGTAAAAAGAAAAAAGAGTCCTAAGTAAATAAGTAAGTCAATAAAAGTTCTCCCTCTGTGCTCCTACACCCTTTGCTTGCAAACAGCTTCCTTCACGCCCTAGGAGCTTGCTCCCCTGTATTTTTCCTGTGCACTGGCTGACATGGAGGCTGTGAACCAGGGCATGGGCACTTTGCACAAGTGGGACAAACTCCCATGTGCATATTCTCATTTGCACGGCAGCTAGTTCACCGAATCATCC